CGCAGCTGCCGCCAGAGGTCGTGGACGCCGGCGTGCGCTGCTCGGGCATGCCCGCTACGTAGAGAGCACACGCGGCCATGCACAGCACGAACCGCTCCTGATGACGACACACACAAGCGAGAGACATCACGCCATGATAAGTACAACGGCCACGATGGATGATGGCGAGAAATGCGATCCATCGACACTGAGATGCGATGACTCTCGCGAGATGAAGAGGAGAAGAAGAAGTGGATGAGCGGGCGGTATATAGTAGTGTGCGCACCTCATCCTGCTGGCCGGCCTTGAGCGTGAGTCGGCGCAGGAGGGACCAGCCGATTTTGCGCGTCTCTTCATCGAGATTGAGGCTGCGGCAGAGTTCGTCGTATCGCTCCTCTCGCGCTTGAAATGGATGGGGGCTCTCCAGCTCCATCGCCTCGCCTCCATTCTCGGGGCCTTCGGCCGATACGCCCGTCGAACTCGCCGTTGCCGTCACTGGCGTCGGCAGCGCTGATGCAACGGTCGATGGTGGCACCGAGACGGGGGTGGGTATGGATGAAGGTCCCGCATTAAGGGCCTGGAGTGTGAGCAGCGGATGCGCGGGTATGCTGGTCGTGGTTGATGAAGATGAAGATTGGGCGATCGTGGCCGCTGGTGTGGTTGCAGACGCGCCCTCAGAATCCATGTTGATGAGGAGGCGTTCCTCGATTATTCAAAATTCGAAGGCGGGGTCGATGGAAGATGGAAGAAGGCAAATCGACAACCCCAACGCCTTCAGATCAGAGGCCTGAGAGGAGGAAATGAGACGCCTTGGGTCGTAATTTGGTACTTCGGGAGGACTGGGTTCAGGTTTTCGCGCCTAAAAGTTCCGATGGCGCCAAAAACCGCCTCCTTAAATATGGGGAAACAGTTTATTTATTATTTCTTTGCCTCTCTCGCCGCCGTCTGCACGCCACTCCTCTTCGCCACCCGCGACGTTCTTCGGTGCGGGCTTCCCACGCAGGAGAAGAGGCGGCAGGAGAGAGAGGGGCATGTTTGTACGCCCTGCTGTGGTTAGACGCTGACTTCAGCTGCGTGTGGGTACACAACAGGCCTCAGTGGAGCCGGGAGAGTGAAGCGGTTGGAAGGTTGCTTTGTTGTTGGATTGAGGGGGACGGCGGCTCTCCGAAGAGGCCAGCCACTAAAAATTAGTGAAGGCACATTGAGTGAGCCAGCAACACGGTGGTCTTTAGTAAAAGGCGAAAAACCAATACGTTATGCTGCTGGCTCTGTGCAATGATTCCCAGGATCTACGCTCGCGCCTCTTCTACACCGGCCGCTCTCCGCAACTTATGGGTCAGCAAAGTAATATTATGATCTATGAAATAAGGAAACACACGGATAAGAAAGAATCTGCAACTATTATATTATATTTTCTTATATTATCTAAAACTGTCGAAGACAAAAACGCGCCACACAGTGTGGCTCACTGCGCGACGGTGGCGATGACGGTCGGAGAGAGGACCTCGCCGTGAACGGTGGCCGCCTGCGGGTCGTGCGGGCAGCACTTGGGCGGGGGCAGGCTGTCGAGGAGCTCCCCGAGGTCGGCGTCGGCGAGCGGCGTGTAGAGGTCGCCCAGCAGCTCCGGCGCCTTCTCCCTTCCCTCTCCCACGGCCAGGAGGTGCTGCATCAGGTCCCTGGTAGAACACACACACACACACACGACGAGTGGTGAGTGCCAATACCACACGCGGCGCACGACACACGCATCAATGGCACACACCGCACACAAAGAATCGAATGGAGGGAGGGGAGACGGTACCAATTGATTTCGTCGTTGACGACAGAGTCCTTCTGGTAGGCCTTGTGTTCGGTCACGAACTTGCGCGTGTAGCTGGCCATCGTCATCAGCTCACCTGCAAGTTTGGCGGACGAACGAGGTCAGCTAATGCTGCGAATAATAACTAATAATAACTAATAATAGGAATAATAAATGATGCATAGATGATAACGAATAAGCGACCGAGAGGCGAGAGCGAGAGGGTACCCGAAGCCCGCTTGCTCACCAGATCGAGGTACTTGTCAATGACCACTCTCGTCTCAAGGTCGACATTGATGGAGGCCACGTACTGCCGCACCAGCGGCATCAAACCAGCGAAGTTCTCCTGCTCATTAGGAGATGACACGACACAGGCGCGCGTCAGCCAATCAAGTTACATAGTGTGGTGTGGTGTGGTGCGGGGCGCGCGTACATCGCCGTTGATGATCTGGTTGATGGACATCTCCTCGTAGT